GTAATGTTTTTTAAAATTCAAGAAGAGATAAATTAGTTTGTTTTGTCATTAATAAAAGGGTGATATATTAATCTTATTAATGGTTTATATTATATTATATACATTAAGAGATATCATGCAAGTCTGTAAAATATTTTTTTAATAAAATACATGAAATTATTTTAGAATTAAAAATATGTAAAAAATATCTATACATTTTAATTAAATTTTTTATTTTTATGTCTGTTTGTATCTTCGAGTAAGGATGATAAAAAGTCTTTTTTTTTTTTGTTTTTGATGACAATGGATCATTGATTTATTTGATTAAAATAATTAAATAATAAAATAAATTAATAAATAATTATTTTTTATAAATTTGTAATAATATTAAATATAAAATAAATAATATAAAATAACTATGTAATAAAATAATTAATTGTAATTATAATTAATTTATATATAAATTAAATAAACTTTTAATATTTTATAAACATATTTATATTTTATATTTTTTATAAATATTTATAAGTAGCATTAAATTGTAAAAATTATTTAAAAAATAAAATGTTTAATAAAATATTATAATTATTCATACTTTTTAGATTTTATAATAATTTACCGAGAAAATGGAAATTTTTTATTTAAAAGAAGTATACAAAAAGTTTAATTAAAATTTGAAGTTGTGATTAATTTCAAATTATCTTATTTAATGTCTTTTGTACGTGTTTTTATATTATGTCTTTTGTGAGTTCGAGATTATTAATGTCCTTAGATAAATTTTGTTTACATTGTTGTATTAATTTTACTGTGTTCAAATACTTTTTGATGACTATTGTGGAGGACCAACCGTATCAAATTTGAGGAAAATTGATAAATGTGATTTGTGCTTAATTTATTAAGCATAATAATCATTTATTTTATTTTTTTTAAATATTTTCTTAGTTTTATTGTTAATTTTTATAATTATATAGATAATTATACTTTTTATTGATTTATCAAATATTTTAAAACTAATTTTAAGAATTGATGAAGAAAGAATTGAGAGAACATTTGACCATATGAAAGTAGCAAAGCTAAAATGAATTCTTGTTAGCCAAGTATGAAATTTGACTTAGTTAAAATCATCTCTCGCTCAACCAACCATAAAGCCAATAAGTATTAAAATTGTTATCAAGTAGCGCAACAAGTAGCGGATCTAGTAGTTAAGGGGTTGTGATTCCCGGAATTTTGTAACTTACTTGTATATTTATGATTTTTGTCCCCCCAATATTAAATGTATCATAGAAAAAATTAAAGGAATAAATTAAATAAAAAAGATTAAAAATAATTTTATTATCTTACCTTTCTATATTTTATTAGTATTTAATTACTTCTCTAATTTCTAAGGAATATATTAAATAAGAAAGATTAAAAGTAGTTTTTCATCTTCTCTCACATTTTTATATTCTCTCATAAGATTAATTGATATTTTGATTTTTGTTAAAGAACATTTGTTGTTTGAGAAAAATATTTTTGTTTTTTATAAATTTTTATGATTTTATAATTAGAAAAATAATAATAAATTCATTTTTTTCTAGATATGAAGCATAAAAGAATATATTCATTTTTTAATAGTGATAAAAGAGATACTTGTAGAGATGAAAACCAAACAAACTCAACATCTTCACCTGCTTCAAAAAATCTCTTTCTAAGATTCATAGAATTAAAACCAATGATAAGGATCCAATTATCCTTTGGATTTTAGTGAACAAGAAAAGATTAATTTAAAATTTCAACTTCATCATTTTATACTTGAAGCTCCTAACCATCCAGATTTGAAAAATTTGTCTACCATACTTGAATTATGTCAATCTTTGATAAAAACAAGAAAGTCGATACATTTTACTTAATAGATCGTTTAATTCGTCTTATTTTAACTCTTTTTTATTCTACACCTAAAATTGAGAGATAATTTTCTACAATGAAGATTATCAAAACAAGATTATGAAATATAATGGAAGATAAAATTCTTGCAAATAATATGATCATTTATATTGAAAAAGAAATAACTGAAAACTTTAGTTTTGATTCCATTATTGATGAGTTCAAATATTTAAAAAATGAAGGACATAATTTTAAATAAATATCTTATTTTGTATTTATTATTAAAAAAAATTTATATAATTAACCCCCCACAACATCCATTTATTTCAAATATTCATATACAACAAACTTAAGACTTGGCTCAGCAACACACCAAGGTGTTCTTTTTCATTGGCTTGAACATGGCTCAGCAACACACCAACGTGTTCTTTTTCATTGGCTTGAAATTTCAAATATGAAGAAGATTTTTGGATTAGATAAGACATCTCGATATAAGAGAAAATTAGAAAAGTTGAAAAACTTCTTTCATGAATTTCATATTGGTCATCCATTTATTTTACTTCCATGTTATTCAAATAATGAGTAACAAAATTCTCTTTTATTGGAATTAGATGTAATCATCAAATTCTCTTATATATTTTTATTATATTTATATATAATATCTATTTCTCATTCTCTATTGTTATTTTATCTTTATGCTTAATGATTATTGTGGCTTAACCAATCATAAATTAGTTGTATTTATAAAAGATTAAAAATTCTTTATACAATCAATAAATCATTTGTCTGAAAACCAAAAATGAGTTATTTATTATATCATTTATCATAAAGGAAGGTTATTTGTTGAGTTCATAATGGATTGTAATTCAATAGGATATTTATTTAATGAACCTAATAGGCAAAAAAAAGTGAGATGGTGAAGTTTTTATCCCAACAATATTCATATACTTATTTTTATTTAATATAGCTTTCATTAGTTAAAAAATACAAACTATCTAATTTTAATATTATTATTCTCAAAATTTTAATCATATAATTGTAATTTTTTTAATTTAAGTAATATAATTATTAATATTATTCAGGTTCCTGTAAATTATATTCTTATTTATTTAAAAATTAATAATAATAATGGTGCGATTTGCCAAAAAAAATAACCTCTTCATGTCACAAATTCTTCTTCTCCAACCGACAATTATTTGAATATGAATTAAATTAAAACTATCCATAAAAATAAATAATAAAATCTATTTCACTTAATTCAAAAACAATTAATTAAAATAATTTAAAAATAAATAAATGTATTCATAATTCAAACTTAAAATTGTAATAATTATAATTATAAGAGTTTAATTTTTATAATTATTAATATGTTTTTTACAATATAAAATTAATATATATATATATATATAATTTTTGAAATAATTAATGTAATAACCAATTTACTTATCATAAATAATTATATCTAATTAAATCATATTTTTATAATTTTATTCCAATTATTATTATTTTATATATTTTTGACATAATAATATATCATCAGTATATATTTTTTAATATAAAATAATTTATATTCATTTGATTAATAAAATTTAAGTGTCAATAAAAAATTAAAATATAATCAATTTATATTTTATACCTTAAATAATTAAAGTATGCATAATTGATTATGAAATAAAACATAATATATACCTTATTCTATATTTAATTATATTTTTTTATTTATAATTAAGAGTAATAAAAATATTTATAATATTTTACTTATTTTCTATTTCACTTTTATTTTAAGGGTTTCAACTTATAAGCAGATCCACCATTCATTTCATGAAAATCATGAAATCTACACGTAGTTATTTCTCTACAATATAAACTACGTAGGATTTATTTTCCGCGCATCTTGGGGTAAAAAAAAAAAAAAGTAGAAACCGGTTGGTGGGTTGGCACTAGTCACTTTGAGGTATCTCCCGTAACACAAAGAAAGCTGCCATGCTAGCTACTGTCACTCACGTACTTTGGTTCCACGTCGGTGTCAACAACCACCTCCTACGCCATTCCCAACACCGTGTTTGGATTCCTTCCTAAGTTTTCTGCCCCAAACTATATCAAACCTGACATTTTACATTTTTAGTGTCGCTGTCGAGAATGGCCAAATCAAGGGCCCTTACGTAACTGCCTTTCGATGGAACCACATGGGCCGCTTACATTCACTTCAGTGGAGGCTAAGACCGAACTGTTACCGTAAAACCCTAAACTGTAACCGTCAGCGAACACAAAGAAAAGAACGGTTTCTCAGGGGACGTTTCTGTTTTTTTTTTTTTTTTTTTTTTTCTTACCACACGGAAAAACAGGTCTCCCACGCAAAGCAATGCGTGCCATTACTAGAACTCCAAGTTCGTTTTTTGTCCCTGGTTTTGATGTTGTAGTGTAGCTTGTGAGTCTTTTTTTCTTCTTTCTTGTAACTAATGTTTTGCTTAAAGCACACGTGATCCGTTTCGTTGCGTTACGCATTGTGAGCATGAAACCTTGAATATTCTAACGGGTTTCTTAACTGACAACCGAGATACTTTCTTTTTTTCATTTTTTTAAGCCAAAAAAAATGTGAGATTGATTTTGGTGAAATGGGTCGGTTTACTTCAATATTTTGAACTGGGTTTAGAGGTGAATAAGAGATTAAGAGTCAGGTCTCATTGACACTCTTCAGATTTGGTTGGTTACATTCTGCTTTCTTTTTCAGCTGCTTGAATTGCATTTGACATGCGTTGCAGTCCCAAGATCTTTAAGGACAATGCTATTTCCGAGAGATGAGAACACCATGCAGAGGGAGATTGCAAAGGCTTGAGAGCCCGATGTAATTTGCATAATCAAAGGTAAATAAGTGAACTTTGCCTATCTGAAGTCCATAATTGTTTTTCTTGGATAACCTTGGTACTAGGATTCGCGGTTTTGTTAATGATTAATCTAGCTCAGGACTTTAGTGAGGTCTCCTCCTAACTACGATTTGTCTATGATGGTTTTAATCCTTTATGTAGAAAATCATTTACATTTTCTTTTTCGAATTCTGCTAACTAAACCAAGGACTACGAATGTTTTTCTTGTTTTAAGTTGGGAATTGTGAGGTGGGCTGATATAGATGTATATTTTAGGTTGATTTTGGAGAGAGGATGGCATCTTCATGGGAATACTTTGGGGAGATTGCCAATGTGGCTCAGCTAACGGGCATTGATGCTGTGAGGTTAATTGGTATGATTGTGAAAGCTGCAAGTACAGCACGGATGCACAAGAAGAACTGTAGGCAATTTGCTCAGCATCTGAAGTTGATTGGAAACTTGCTGGATCAGCTCAAGATCTCTGAGCTAAAGAAGTACCCCGAAACCCGGGAGCCTCTGGAGCAGCTAGAAGATGCTCTTAGAAGGTCTTACATTTTGGTGAATAGTTGTCAGGACCGCAGCTATCTTTATTTGCTGGCCATGGGCTGGAACATTGTCTATCAATTCAGGAAGGCTCAAACTGAAATTGACAGATACTTGCACCTTGTTCCTCTCATTTCGCTAGTGGACAATACTAGATTCAGGGTATCTACTCTTCACCTTGTTGCCTTGTTCCATCTTTGTGTCTAACTGTCTTACTCATTACTCAATACTCATTGCAATTATTCTTTGAACATCTTAGTTGCTATTTTCAATCATGCTAAGTAATGTATACTTTAAAGACATAAGTCATCTTCCCAGGCTGGTTTACCATTTAGTATTATTAGGGGATATAATTCAGTCAGGTCCTCTGGCAAAAGCAATAAAGCAGGAACTCATCTTTTATTCTAGTCAATATTGAGTATATCCAACGTTTTCCGGATAGTTTTTTCAGTCACACTGAAATATTGGTGTACTGTATAGCAAGTGTAAAATCCTGGCTTGTAAGATTTGGAGGGTCCTATGCTGATAATTTGTATGCGCTGAATTGTACAGCAAGCCAGCCACATTATTTTATTTGTTTGATACTAGATACAACTTAGAAAAATAGGCAGTGTGCTTGAATATATGAAATATGCATTCACAAGGATCCGTTAAGAGAATTTGCCTCAACAATATGTGAGCAACTCTTTTTGAATCGCAATTTCTTGAGATTCATATGAAGAGATGTCTGTTCCTTCCATGTATATTCACCACTATATTCCCTGATGGCTGTAAGGATAACGTTGCATTTGATATAACGGAGCACTCTAACTCACTAGTCAAGATCAGGGTTACTTTAAGATGATTAAAATAGGCCTACTCGGGCCTTTCCTTCAGTCCATTCTCTTGCATTCATTAACAGCCAGTCATCTTTTCTAAAAGCATCTATATGTAGAAGTCAGTGTCCCAAGTTCTAACTCATAATCCTATAAGAATTAGTGAAATCCAGTTCCTTCTCCTCATTTTTGTGAGTAAGTATGATGTTGTTGCATACAAGTTGCAGCATTTTGCTCTTGGATTAGAATTTGCGAATTTCTGAATCTTCGAAAAGACCGATCTACTTTCTATAGTAAATTTCATGACGACATTTTTTTCATAATTTTGGTCTGATAAATGTTTACGACTCTTGTCTATTTGGAATATTCAGGAGAGACTTGAAGTTATTGAAAAGGATCAATGTGAGTATACATTAGATGATGAGGAGCAAAAGGTGCAGACTGTCATTTTGAAACCTGAGCCTGATCAAGGTGATGCTGTAGTGCTGAAGAAAACTCTTTCCAGTTCTTACCCCAACGTTTCTTTCAACGAAGCTCTTAAAAAAGAAAATGAAAAGCTTCAAGTAGAACTACAACATTCACAAGCAAATATGGATATATACCAGTATGAGTTCATTCAACATTTATTAGATGTCACAGAAGTTGCAGCTCATTATAATTCCGAAAAAAATAATAAGACAGTAGAGTACAGTGACAACAGTTATTCTGATGCCAATGGTGGCATAGCTCATTCTTCTGATGAAAAAATCCAGAAAAAGAATGTTCCTCTTTCTGCATCAAGGTAATGATATCACACTTGACCAGATTTCATGTGATTTTGGTAAACTCTTATAACTACATGACCCAATATTATTGTAGTTAAATAAATTTTAGTCATTACACATTTGACCTCTAGGAAGACTCGATGTTTTCACTTAGTGATTACAGTGACCAGCTTACAGAACGCTAAGTATCCCGAAGTCCTGAATCTTCCGTTGTGTTGTCATGCTGTAAATAATGACTTGTTTAAAAAGAAAAAAAAAATACTGTTCTTACCTTTATCATTACTAACTATATTCATTTTCATTTGTCTGAGTTCAATCAGATCATCAGTTTCAGAAAAGGATCTGCTATCAACCGGCGGTTCATATCATCGGGAAGATTGGCATACAGATTTATTTGCTTGTTGTTCTGAACCTTGTCTCTGTATGTTCTCTCATTCTGTTCATTTGATTCTCTCTCATTAGAATAGTTTATTCCTTCACTAGGAGGGTTATTGGAAGAGTATATTTTGGTCCACTGTGTCTGTAAGCTTTATTAACCAGAAAAATGACATCCTTTTACTTTTCAGTTAAGTTAGAAGTACTGCTTCACATCCCTTTATAAATAGTGCAGCGAAACCCCTAGTTCACATGTTTGTTACTGTTGTTATTTTTATTTTATTTTTTTATCAACGTGAAGACCTCTTGTCAATGGATCATGAACTAAATAATTGACCTTACAGCGTATTCAATATATTAGAACTTTTTTCACTTATCCATTTCTATACAAAATTAGACTCCAACTTGCATTTAAAGCAAAGAAATATGGGGGAAATCTCAGATAGCTCTCCAATCCTGCTATACTTTTCATCTGAAGTAATAAGTGAATAATTTGATTTGCAGGTATAAAGACATGCTTCTATCCTTGTGGAACATTGTCAAAGATTGCCAGTGTTGCGACTAACAGGCCAATTTGTAAGTGAACTATAATACATTGTTAACATCATAGTCAACAACCTATATCTGAATTCTGTTTCACTTAGTGTTTTTTGCTAACAAAGCTATAATTTAACTAGATTAAACTGTTACGAAGATCATGACATTAAGGGCATTCAATATAGATTTTTCAGCTCCAAAAAATGTCTTCTTTGTTTGCCATGATCTTGCCTTAACATTTTCACCAAATTAACTAAGGCAATCCCTGTCTACACTTTCGATACATAGTTAAGATTGAATTGGAGTGATATATCTTGGATTTTAACAATAATGAAGTCTGACCTAATTGTTCAGATAATATTTACTCTGCATAACTAATTGATTTTTGTCATATGCATTAGTTTTATTTCATGTAAAGGGGACAAAATTATAGTTTCTGTGGGTATTTCTTTTTTTTTTTTTTTTTCTGAGGGGGGGTAAATTAATACTAAGGTTTCTTTAAGTTAAAATGTTTTGTTTTAGATTCTTCTTATTATTATTATCTGTTTGGTTCATTTGTGACACTAAAAAATTGAGGTCTTGCTGCTATAATGCAATTTTTTGGGTTTTCAGCTTCTGCAGAAGCATGTAATGAACTGATGGCATATTCATTGATTTTATCTTGCTGCTGCTACACTTGCTGCATAAGGACGAAGCTTCGGAAGATGATGAACATTAGGGTAATGCTTCCTTCCTTTGGCATAGTAGGGCTTAAGGTGCCCTCCTTTTGGTGCTTTGTATATATGAATACTCAGATAAAAAAAATTAGCATCATTTTTTCATTGTATGATGAAAGATAAATTCATATTCTGAGGGATTACAACTATTTCTATAAAGTAGTGATAACAGCTGCCTGGCTGCTGTATCTAAGTATTCTGTATTTATTCAAACTCAGATTTGGTTATAGTAGATCCTGATTGTACAATTACCAAAATTTAGTGTTACATGGAGACTTTTTTTTACATTTTCTGATGTTTATTAGCCAATGACATTGTATGCCAGGGGGGCTATATTGATGATTTTCTTTCTCATTTAATGTGTTGCTGCTGTGCCCTTGTGCAAGAATGGAGAGAAGTTGAGATTCGCGGGGCTTGTGGTATGACTTCATGCAGCTTTCTCAATATTTAAGGAATTGTACTTGTCTTTCCTTTACTCTCAAGACCTATTGAATTGGGTCCAACTCGGTGTTATAAATTTCTATTTTACCATGCCACTTTATAGCACTAGTATCGTGCTGCAACTTCTTGTAAAAACATGTTCTTGCTAAACCATTTTGCAGGTCCTGTTGAGAAGACAAACACACGGCCTCCACCCTCACAGTACATGGAATCTTAAGTAATTGACATTTTTGTTGTTCAGTTAAACACTAAATATATTTTACAATCAATTGGCTGTTAGGATTGTGTCAAAAAATCAGTGGCCATGTAATTTAATTCTCACACCACCTAACCTCAGTTGCCTAATGTAAACTACTTTTCTATCCTTTTTATACAATAGAATTTCCTCTAGTTTAGCTGTGATGCATTACAATATTGTTTTTCATTTTTCATGGTAGAATATAGTTTAGGTTAAACTTAATTGCACCTTATTATAATATATTTTATAAATATATTAATGGAAGATGGATCAATTTATTTTTAATAATATATACATTTAATAATATATATATATATATATATATATATATATATATATTCCTATTGTTCAATTAAATATATTAAATTAAGATATTTCATTAAATTATATTATTTTCTTTAAAACATTACAACACCTGTTATACAAATAACACATAAATTATTGAGTTTTTAAATACTGTTATATATATTTTAAATATACAAAAATAACAATATATAACCTAAAATGTTATTAACTAAACTATAATAATTAAATAAAAAACCTTATATCATAAATCTATCCTATTTTTTCCTCTTTTTAAGTAAAGATTATAGATTCTATAATTTATATTTTATATTTTGTATTTTATACTTCATATTTTATATTAAATTAGAACAAGTTTTAATTATATACTATTTATTATAATTATTTACATTTACTCATTCCTCTAAATCATTTTCCTTCTATTATTTTTTTTTCAGAATCATTTTATTGAAAACAATGGACTAATTAGTTTTTTTCACAGAATTTCATAATTTATAAAATCAATATACTTGAATATATAACTACAAATCAACTAATTCTATTCTTTTAAAGAATATATATATATATATATATATATATATATATATATATATATATATATATATATATGTGTGTGTGTGTGTGTGTGTGGATATTTTTTTCAAAATCTAAAACTAAAACTGCAAATTAACAAAAATTATATGGAAAAAGAAATCAGAGTATTTCAAGTTCCTCTTATTAACACCTTTTGAATTTTAAAGTTTGAACAAGTTCACTCATCTCATTATTCATCTAATTGATTTCTTACTTAAATTAAGTGTGTTTTGTGTACTATATTTGTACACTAAATTCATAGATATATAGTATTGTGAATGAGATTAGTCTTTAATATTATTAGATTGGAAAAAGTTTGTGGTAAGAAACAAAAAAATTATAATTCATATTTCACAAATTTAAATAAGTTTCTTCAAGTGAATTATAAGAAAAAAAGATAAAATGAAAATGAGATTTTTTTTTTCAGTTAAGACTATCTTATTTATAAGTTAAAAATAAATTTAAAAATTATAAAAAAAGACTTGCATATTTTTTTATTCTATGTTTTCATCCTATAAACCCATAAATTTATTGACATTTTAAATATTCTTCATACACATTTATGAATAGTATAAAAATATTTAACATAAATTCAGTAATAAAGAAATAAAGTATATAAAAAATTAAAAGTAAAAATTATATTAAGAATAAAATAATATAAAAAATTATTTAAACACATAATAAATAATAAATAAATAAAATAAAATAATTATATAATAATTAGTCATATAATAATTAATGAATCTTTTTATGAATGAAATAATTTCTTAATTTTTTTTTCAATAATACATATATATATATATATATATATATATAATATTTAAATATTTTTTCTAAAAATATTTAAATTTAAATTAGTAAATAATATATGAGAATGAATAATACTTTATTAAAAAAATAGTATTTTGAAATAATATTCATCTCATATTTTATATGACTGAAAATTAAATATATAGATAACTGTGAAAAATAATATATTTTATTATTTTCTTTATTATAAAAATATTTTATTTTCTCTTTATTTATCTACATTTGACTTTTTTTAATAAACTATTGAACTTAATTTTTGAAATGAGCATAGACTTACAAATAGAAATATCACTTTATATGGAACTCATTTGATATATATTAATCAATTAAATAAGTTAAATTTAAATTTTGAAGAACTGAAAGAGTGGTGAGTACCTTATATCACACAAGATAGGAAAGTAAAAAATATTAAAATGCAATATCCTGTTTAACGAATGAATGATTGCCACGTAGCGGTGTGATTAAACTACGGTCTGGATGAGACCCACAGTTTAGCGCTATAAATAGACGACACACCGCTCATAAATTGAAACCCACAGAATAGAGAGAAAAGGGGTTAGGGTTAGGGATTTGTAAATGGCATCGACAAAGAAGATCACGCTGAAGAGTTCTGATGGCGAGGCTTTCGAAGTGGATGAGATTGTCGCCTTGGAGTCTCAGACGATAAAGCACATGATTGAGGACGATTGCGCCGACAGTGGAATCCCTCTTCCCAATGTCACAAGCAAGATTCTCGCGAAGGTCATTGAGTACTGTAAGAAGCACGTTGAGGCTAATAACGCCGATGAAAAGCCCACTGAGGATGAACTCAAGGCCTGGGACGCTGATTTTGTCAAGGTTGATCAGGCCACACTCTTCGATCTCATTCTGGTTCGTTTTCTAAATTTTCTTTTTGTTTTTTGTTTTGAGTTTGGTACAAGGGTCAGAGCTTTCGTGATTGAAGTTTCTGCTGTTGTCTGGTTTATGATGTTTTTTTTTTTTTGTTGATTTGTTGTGTTTTGACTTAAAAATGTCCATTTGCTTATTTTATATTATTGTTTGCTACTATGGTTTGTGTTGTGTAACCTGAGAAATACAATTAAGGTTGTAACCGGTATTTGCAAAGATGCATGAATATTTTGAGGCAATTGTTTGCAGCAAAGCAACCCTTAGATATGTTTGACATTTCTGATGCCGTGACTTCAGTTTTAAATACGAGTTAAAATTTTGTATACTAATTTGTGAACGATTTAATGTTATTATCTTTGTCACATAGCATGTTAAACTGTCCGGTTTACATGTCTGTATGGAATGAAATTTATTTTAAATAATTGGTGTTAAACAATAACAATATCATATACATTAGAGGTGATTTATCCAAGTTTGATTTTGGCATGATTATAAATATCTTTTGTCTTTCTGTTTCTTATTCTTCATCGATTTGTATGAGATATTTCCGTCTGGTTGCTTTGTTCTTTTGATTGCCTCAGCTTATGATGTTTTATATTATGTTATTTGAATTATTGTAGATTCTTGTCTTTAATGTCAGATTTACTTTTATTAGTTTGTTATGTTAATGAATACTTTGTTATTTATTGTTTTTTGTTACAGGCTGCAAACTACCTGAACATCAAGAACCTCTTGGACCTTACTTGCCAGACTGTAGCAGACATGATAAAGGGGAAGACTCCTGAGGAAATTCGCAAGACATTTAACATTAAGAATGACTTTACCCCTGAAGAGGAGGAGGAAGTTCGTCGGGAAAACCAATGGGCATTTGAGTGAGTTGTTAATTTGAACGAAGACAGTGGGTGGGATTAAGCGGTAGTTGCTAGCTATGATATGTTACTGACTATTTTGTTTATGTTTGATATGTTGCCGTATAAGACTTATTTTCTTTGCTGAACTTTGTGGGGGCAATCTTGAAAATTGTAAGTAATAGTTGTATTTGGTAATGCTTTGAGTTTCTAGTATGAGGTTTTATTCATCGTCAAACTTTGTGTGTTTGTTCCATCCAAACCATCATTCATTTGATTCCTCATATGGCGAGCCTGCTCAAGTCAATCTCAGTGGGTACCCAAATAATGGGTTTCTATTACTTTTGTCCTTGTCTGCTCTATGTTATGCTTTTATATCCTCTCACAAACGTTTAAGATTTATGTTAGTCTATAATTTTAGTTTTTAGCTCTGGACAAACATGTCCTCGTCAAACTTTGGACAAAAATGTTCATATCTATACTGAGGTTAAAGGATGTTGAGTTTCTACTTTTTGGTCTACCTGTTGAGGTTGTGCGTGTCCTTTGTAATATAGGGGAATTTTTTTAAAGGTAAGGGTTTTTTTTTTTCATGATATTAGGATGCTAGAATTTTTACCATAAGTTATATTATTTTTAAATCATGAGCATTTTTAACTGAAAGATAATTTATTATATATAACATTATTTTAATTTTAAACTGAGTATTTGACTGAATTTCAAAGATTTTATTTATTATATGTAGATGAAAATTGCCTTGTTGACTTTTAATATTCATCCTTCGAAGCTTTGTTAGGACCTTACATTTTATTAATAAAGTACAGTTGCTTGGCGAAAAATAAGTTGTAACTTTTATGTTGAATGAACAAGATTCAACGTTTTATAAAGAAATTTGTTTTTTTTTTTAAATAAACATGTTTTATAAGTAACTTTGAAACATAAAAACATAATTCTACAATTGTCATAAACCCAAACTTTCAATAACATTTCACTTTTAAGCTTAATTAAACTCGACCCTAATTACAAGGATTTATTATTAAAAATTATAATGTATCCTAAAATTGAAATATTTAGATATTATTTTAGAACTTCTATTCTGCGTTATATATATATAACACTCCTAACAGACATTTACAGAGAAATTCGCCATTATTAATGTAATTCATCGTATTTAACACTACAATCTTTATGTTTTTTTTATCCATTCATAGTTTTTTTATGCCACTGTTGGTGACTGGGGATAACTCTTCAATTATTCCTGGGATTAGCTATGCCTGTCAATCGAGTAAGTGATTTTGGTTTTGGATTAGCTCCTGGGATTTCGGGTCGTTTTACTCTTTCAAACAGTAGAGTTTTCAACCATTTTTGCTCGTGCTAGTGCCCCCAGAAATTCTTGGATTTCTTGCAATATGCTCATCTAAAAGACTACATTGTTGACCCAACAAGAGGGACAGAAAGCATTCACAATTAGAGTTTCAGACAGCGTATATATGCAAGAAGTCACAATAACAAAAGGTACTGTGTTTTTTCCACAGAACTTAAATTAATTATAATAGTGGTAACATTCAGCTTTCATTTTTTTGTTAATGATACACAACAGAGGAACTAATAATAAAGTGTTGTTTTCTAAAATCTGAAGTGACTAAAATGCGTGATTAATATAATCTTTAGGAGATTGGTACAGCATAAGAGCGTAGGAATGATTAACCAGCGGATGAACCATCGTCAATTTGCAGGAGAGCACCGCAAGATTTATACATCATGGATCCCATCACCGCTGTTGGTGCCATAATTTAAATTTATGCTCTTGAACTGCTAATTATGCACATAAACAAGCAACAGAACGGAGAGACATATGTCAGCCAAAAAGAAACCCCCAAATAATAATACATCAGAATTATAACCTTTTGACTAATGGATGATTTGAGGGAAATTCAGGGATTTCACCTTCTCCACAGCTTGTGAAGCACCAGACAATACTTGATTGTCTTCCTTAAGGATTTGCAGTCGGTTGCGCAACACTTGATTATGTTCCTCTCCCTAACAAACAACATGGTGATCAGACACAGTGTGCAAGACTACTAGAAAAACAAACGATTCGAAAGTAGGAGAGGGAAAACTCTCTTAGGTGGTTTGGTTAGAGAAGGGAAGGTATTTGTTTGGGTTCAAAGGGAAGGGAGACAAATAAATATAAAAGAAACCTTTCAGATCCGTAAATTGTATGTCGAGTTGTAGACAAAGATTATTAACAAGGTGGATCGCTGTTTCTGGATTCCACACAACCAAGGATGGTAAATTGCGAATTAGAAAGATGGGAGGGGATAATATGAAAGTGTGAAGGTTTTGTCCTTCAGTATAATTTGAAAAAAATATGATAATAGTGGCGTCAAATGGACTCGAGATATGCAATCCCTTAATAATTAAGAAAGCACTTGTTTCCTAGTCCAACTTCAGTATTAATTTGACAAGGATGCATTCATGTAGTGGTGTACCTACCAATTGAACCATATGCGTTAAATGTTGAATTTCTTTCTTCTTTGCCATTGACAGATTCTCAGCAACATCAGTTATGTTACTCCTGCATTTGTATCAATGTTTCATATTGAGTTCAAATAATCAACATATAGAGAATGTAATAACCAATAAATATACGATATCCATACAAAGTGAATAAAAGTGTTAAATCAACATCGATCCCCAAGTAAATCCGAAATATCTATCAACATAGAAAAAAATGGGATTAACCAAAAAGAACTTTATGTTTAACATTAAGCTTGACTAATTGTTAATTTGATGGCTAATATGAAGGGAAATTTTCAATATGACCACCTCACGTTTGTGATAATGATAACATCCTACAACAATCTATTTAAAATTCTCTTGACAAAATCCTATAATACCTATCTGAAAACAGGATATCCAGATCTTGTTCTTCCACAATTTCTTCCACAGCATCAAGAGTGGCTCCTGCCTACAAGAAAAATGAACTCAAAATGACAGACTAATTTGGATATGGTAGAATATTGCAAGTGCATGCCTGTATGTCCTACAGAGGGGTATGGAGTAAGAGCATCAAAGCCACTGTATGGCCCCTTCCTGGGCCTCCCCCTCTGACCTACGTTAAGGTAGATAAAAACATTCAAACATTTACTTCAGTTAAAGGGCCTCTATGATTTTGTAGGTGCTGTAGAAGATTTTGAGCCTCTTTGGATGTGTTTCTCCACAAGGACTTCTAAGGGAAAAAAATATGAAGAAAAATAAAACTAACTTGTAATTTTAGCTTATAGAGAGAAGTTATGTGAGAGAATTTGTACACGTTAGTTTAGGCATAAGCTAATTTTAACTTATGGAAAATCTTTTTCATTTTTTTTTTCATCATATTTTTATCTTCTAGAAGTCCTTCCAGACAAGTTTGTCAAAATATGCACTTTAAAAATAATATCTCCAAAGCCAAAGTTTAACTTGTATAGAATTGAAGGTTGAAACTTAAAAAGAACTAAAAAGGTTCAACTTCTTAACTATCTCCGCTAGTTAAGATTCCCATAATTGAAATTTGAGTTAACTGTAAAGTTGATTAAAATAAGAAAAAAAATATATTTTACCTATCTAGTAGTACTTATTTTAATTACTACCAGTGAGTAGATGGTATTTGACCATTTGCAATGATAGATATAAGTATCCATGAAAAAAAAACACAAGAATAAGAGGAGTTTAATACAAATTTATCAATTTTATTACATATATTGTAAGGATTTGACTAAACATATGAGCATTTCTATCCTAAATAACATGTCCATCTTATTTTTATTTATATTTTTCACAAACTTTCAATATTGCCTTCAAGTATGAATTAAAGCCAAAGATCCTCTAGACTAAGTATGTCTTTAATGTGAGAAAGAATATGTATTTACTATAATATTTTAGAAGCTTTAGATCATAATGCACTTTATTAGAATAACTCGAGTAAATAAACCCTTGCTTACTTTAACAACAAAGTCAGTTTAAAGGACCCTGATCCAAATTAAAGTTTTCCCTTTTGATTTCCATTACTCTCGATTGTTCATTGTAACTAGAAAGTCATAGAAAAAGAAAATAAATTATCCTTGATTTCAAGTTTCCAAGGACTGAAATATCAACTCTAGCTATTTTCACTAAAACTAAATAGGGTGGAACAAGTTTCCCATGGGGCTCCTTGATCACACTGAGAATGAGATTGGGTTTAAGTTTTTCATCCCCATCTCTTCAAGCCTGAGAGTGAACCTGCTCCTATCATTGGTGGTGACAGTGGGGAGGCAAAAGCCATCTTGCCCCTTCCGTCTGCCATGCCTAGTAACATGCAAATCTTATGTATGGTTGCAATCCTAACTAAATTGCAGTATGTGAATCTTGGGCAATCAAATACAAAATTACTCCAACTTTTTGTTTAAATTTTAGAATAAAACAACAGAGACAATAGCTCAATTATACCTGTGTTTGAAGACAGACTGTCTCAAACCCTTCCTGTAAAAAGTAATTGATAGAGCATTTAAAGTTAACATATTTGTCATAATAAAAAAAAATTCTTTGTGCTAAAACTTCACATGTGTAAATAAGTAGTTAGAAGAGACAAGTAATTGTTTAGATGTTTGACAAATTTATCAACATGTGTGTGAGAGGAAGATAAAGAAATGATCCAATCATACTAAAAGAAATAAAAGAAAAATACTAAACCACTCCATACGCTAACTAACATATATTTCAAGAAATTAACTTAGTTTACTGACTCAAACCATAGAGAACAGAGATCAACACTAAGTATCTGAAATAGTGAAACATCAGCATCATACTTTAGCTTGAGAAATAGCTATGTCTGAAAGGAAAAATATCAGATGTGATATTTAGATAACATTCTCAATTGTTGCATGACGCAGCTCATCAGGTGTTTATATTCGCCAGGGAATGGATTCTACATCTAAGGTTATTCACATCAGCACTTATCAAAAACGTACCTCTAGGTTTTCATGTAACGAGGTAATGACCTGAAAGATATGATACAAAAGAAAGTAATTAAAATACAAATAAATGAAACTGTGAGCATTACTTGACACAGCCTTTGAAAAACAGAATGAACGAATTTATGTACATTGCATTCAGCTGAGAAGAGGAATGATATACAATTATACATAGTGTTGACGTCGCTTGATTAACTAATAATATCATTACAAAAGTAGATACTTGTTATAAAAAGGAGTGTCAAACTACGAATCCCAATAGTTCACAGATCTCATTGTGTAATAATATTGCCATTTTATAAAAGAGTGGTGATATAAAGATCACTCTTTTTCATTAAATACTCCAACAACACCCATATACATGCCTTTGTTTATTGTATTTTTAGTTCATTTTTAGTCACTTAACAAAGTGTTAAGAGTATAGCAGGCGTTCATTTATCTTTTTCCTTTATAAAATCAGTGCAAGCTGAGAGTATTTTCTCTCAAGCGCTTCAGAAATTGTTTATAGGTAGGTTGGTATTAGAGCCTTTGTGCTTAGTAAAGTTAAGGAGTGTCAGTGCATAATCTGAACGTTTAAGGCTTCAAGACTCCTAAGACTCTAGTGTGACAGGGCATGTCTAGATATGAAGTCATTCATATGTCTTCTTCATTCAATGATTTGGTAATTTCATATCAAACTAGAAGTTGCTAAGTTATCACATTTAAGGTCTTGTTCATTTGACTTTTTAATTTGACCTCCTGTTGATAGTCAATACCTTCTATAATCCTACTTAGTATTAAGTGGCTGAGGAATATAATTTATATAATTCTAACTACAAGGTTGCCCCAAAAATTTTCCAAGATTAACACTGACATAAACTGTCAGTATAAAGGAAATCATTGAATTTCATGAGACCACTGCCCCAATTTCAGAATACAATTTATTTGGAAAACTGGATACGAAAAATGATGACCTGGATCAACCCATGGTTACAGTTTTCATAATAGATAAAACTCAATGTAACATTCAGAAATATAGGTCAAATATGAACAAATTAATATCAAGAATGCATACCTGAAGAAAAAGGCGATGGAGAAACTCCTTTTCCGTGTTAGAGAAACTTGAAAATGCTTTATAAAATTCCTTTAAGCATCATCAGAAACACATATATCAATCTATAGCCGTTTAAGAATACAAAATATGAACAAGAATTCAGATTTTTAGTTGAGTGGTCATACCCAAATCATAGGATAATATGGTATGGTATCACAAAATGGGTTAGACATAACTCAACCATATTTCTTATTAAGCCAGTAACACTGTAAACATGTCATGGCTATCTTTTTAGTGCAAATGCATCTGATCTGAACTTGTGACATAAATCAGGGTAATAGTTTATATGTCCATAAACTACAAGGGACTGATACCACACAATTGTGATGAGTTACCAACTATGTTGTAAGAACATGATGGTTAAACCAGTGAACCAATCTATTGTCTGGTCTATTCAAATCAAACCATAAATCCGGCCTCAAGTTAAACCAGTTCACAGTGTTTCAGCAGAAAATAGTTTTAAAAAATAATATTACTTAGATGTTATTTTTTTTGTTTCCTCAAAATAAAAAAGTATTTTATTTTCTTTTCAATTTTTTTCCAAAGAATATTATTATGTATGTTGAATCTTAAACCTTTTAATAGAAAAAAGAAAAGCTAATGAAATGTGTAGTTTTTAGTTTTTAGTAATATTAAATTTTGATATTATATTTCTTTTAGATTTTATAGGGAATCAGTACATGAAAATAAAATAAAAACAGACAATACTTGATGATTATCATCTATATAAAAAAAATAAGAAAGAAAAATATAAAATACTAGACAATACTTATTGATCTTGGTTTATCCAAGGGAGTAGTGATTAGGTGGTGAGGAATTCAGTTTTCATATCTCCATTTCTGTTGAAGTCAAATGGTTTATAATAGCTTAAAATCATAAAATGTTGGGGAGATTCAGTTTCTCTACCGACAAATTATTATCGGAAACACCGTGCAGGGTTAAGAATTTGTTTACATACCTATTGTTTCATCTTTCATTTTACAACATAATTAAAAACACCCGTGAAAAGAGCAGAAAGAAAAAAGAAACAAAGTGTACCTCCTTTGAACACGAAGTCAGCAAAGATCTGAGAGAATATTTGAAAGACTTGTTCAAATTGGAGAACCTGGATCCAATTCCAGTAGAAGGCAATAGTGATGCATTGGCATCATGTTCAGGTCTTTTGTCCATTGCCGTAGAATCAGGGGCTAGGAAGATCAGTCCCAGAACAGAACAGAAGTAAAACCAAAAGATGGAAGGTGAAGTTCATGCATGCAAATCGTATGCTATTCAAATAAATGAACTGTGAAGCAAAGATGTGAGCGACAATTACCTGCAATGAATCACTCTGAAAGCAACCTGAAAGGGATAAGCATGTTATTTTGTAAACATTAGAAAGCTAGATTACATACATGCTAGAAAAGGAGATTGAGTACATGAAAAATTGGCTGAAAATTACAAGCATATGATGCTTGATTACTAACATTATGAGCTACAATATTAGCATATGTCAAAGTTAAAAGTCACATATTTACTCATTAGGTGATATTCATAAAAATTATAATGACCAGAACAAACAGAAACAAAGAAAAAATAACAAAGAAAAAATCCCCACCTGGTTGACAGTGATCAGAGAGGAAATAAATAAATGTACAAAAATGCATGTTAGGCACAAAACTAATTTTCTATTTCTTTTAATCTTCAAATGTACTCAATTCTGCTTCTTTATCATATTTTCTCAGCCTTCAATTTTCCAAACAAATGATATCACCAAATCAGCTGTTTGACAGTGTTCGCACCAAAACTGCTTTACCATTATATTACTTACATTGCAGAGGAACCGCACAACTAATTAAATTGTCAGCAATTTGCTAAAACATTCACTCAATCAGGGTCCATAGCCAGATATTAGGCAGCAGAGTTCAAGGCTTAATAATACTGCATACAAGTTAGAAACTTGATTATTTGGGAATAAAAGTTGAATTTCTTATTTCTAAAAAATACAAAAACCAAAATCCAAGATTCTGCCTCAATCCTTAGTATTTTCTTTTCTTAAGTGATGAAGACATGCATAAGATGGAAGAACCTCATAGAGTCTTTAGGAGGAAAATGACCAAGGAGCAGTGTTACTCATATCGGATAACAGAAAATATCAGAAGCGGGGGTGTGCTGGCAGTGGTGCAGTTGAATGACAACAACAGCAGCGAAAAGGTCTGCAGCAAGAGGGAAGATGAGAAGTGCGAGAGAGAAGTGGGAAATGAGAGAACAGTGTGGGTCTTGTATTTGGGTTTGGGTTGGGTTGTATAACCCAACTTTTTTTGGCTCACTGCTATTGGGCTGGGTCTCATATAAACTTGAACTAACAGCCACTGATTAAATTAAATATAAAAGCCCTGGGTTAGTCTTGGGTGCGTTGCATCTTCTTCTACCTCTCAACCAGAGCTGCGAGAGTGAGATTTCCACCATGGCCTCTCTGTGGCGCCACTCCACAAGACTCAATGTGGCTACCATGCAAAACCCATTTCGTTGCCACCTTGCCGTAGCCGAAAAAAAATCCGCTTCCAATTTCTAGTATGGCCCTTTTTAGATAACACCGAATAAGTTTCAATCAAAATAAATTTGATATTATTTTCAAGTTGATCTTAATTGAAGGAAAACATTATTATACCACTTTCTGTTATAAGGAGTTTGGAAGGAGAGGTTGAATTATCCGTGGCCTAAAATAATTTAAGAAATGGTGGAGGAAAAAGTTGGCATGAAAATGTTATCATTTTTGGACACTCGAGTCAGGGGCTGCACACCATTCCAGGCATTGTACATATCTAGTTAATCCATTTTTTGACGTTGGCTTTCTTGCAAACAAAATAAACACCATATCCCACGGATTAATAAGATGCTTTACAAACACTACATTTACAAGCATGCATAACATAGATATTTGAACCATAGGCGTAGGTACCTAGTCATTTTTCCTAGAAAGAAAACAACGCTAACCAAAACAATCTGCAAGTGTGAAACAAGCTTTGACAGATTCCATCACTTATATTCCCAGAGTCAATGTTCTTAATGGAAATCAAGTAAAGTGCTGCAGTAACAACAAGCAAATCTAAATTAATTTCAATAGTGCACCCCCCCCCACCCCCACCCCCCCAATTGTGACTGAGGAAAATTTTTATAAGGATTATTCTAGTGAAACGGGACTTAATAAGAAGCCAGTAAAGCAACCAGGTTCCCTGTGATTGTAAGGCAAGGAGTAAGTAAATTAAACTATTAGTAGACTATTCAACTCCAACTTTTTCCATGCTCAACCACTGTTGTAACTTGTAAGAATGAACTAAATAAAGTCTACCTTGGACTTTGAACAAAACTTTATAGTTGAGTCAAACTTGGGCTTCAAAGGCTTGACATTATAAGCTTGCTAAATGGGTAGAGGGGGGTGCGCACATGGACTTACAAAGGCAAAGTTATTATTTTAGATAACAAAGGGTGAGAAGATAAAATAATAATTTCATAGTTCTATTACCCATCCATCCCCATAAGAAAATATCCGAGTCCAAAAATAGCATATTATCATTTCTTAATGCGAAATGGTTATTGCTGAAATGATATATATTCAGTTTCGAATCAATGATATGGAGTTGAGAAAATTCCAGTTTGGTTATTTTTATGAGAAGAAAATAGATGCAGGACATATAGTATACAAGACTTATATCTGGATTGGGTTGGGATGGTGCATGACAAAAGTAGCAATTTCTTTTCTTTACCAGGATATTAGTTCACTATCAAAATTGGTTTCATGCTTTTTATATCACGAGTGCTAATGTACCCTTAATATCAGATTATGAAGGTTGTATTTGACGTTGCCATCAAAGTGGTTCTTCAACCACCAAAACAAAAGAAAAAGAAGAGAAAGGCGCAGAAGGTTTGCTGAATATTTAATGAAACATCTCTTCATTCTAATAATATTGTGATTAAGAATCAGAAAAGCCTGCCCCCGACATTGAAATTATGAAAAATATAATGTTCAAGGTACAGAACAAACAAACTAGAATCACACACAATGCTTCTTTCACTTTAACAAATATATATTCAAAAATCAGAAATGAAGGCGAGAGAAGAGAACTTACCACAAGATTGGCCCAAGATGCAGTGTTTGAGTGGCGAATTTCAATCAAAGCAGCGAAGGGCGTCGTCAACACTCCAATCGAACAACAAAGGAAGGCTTCAATCGGATAAGGAAGGCTTCAATCCCGAAGATGTTTGTAAGCAAAATGTTAGAGAGCTTCAACAGAAACTTCAATAAAAGAAACCAAGGGTTTCAAAGCGATGAAAATGAAAACTTTATGGGCAAAGAGAACAGCTAAGGGTTTGACAGAGGAGACTGCTTGAGAGGGAAGGGTTTCACCGTTGAAAATGAAGGAGAACTGGTGCGCGAGAGGGAGATAAAAAAGTAATCAATATGTTTTTTTTTTTTTAATATTAATTATTATATATCAAAATTATATGTAACATAAATATATAATTACTACATTTATTTTTCTAATTTTAGATAATTTAACACTAATATAAAATAACTATAATAATTTAAACACAAGTATAAGATATTAATTAGAAAATTATATCATATTTAAGTGCATAATTAAATTAAAATAAATATTTTATGAATAAAATAATCAATAAAAAATAAAACTTAATTATGTTTTTAAATCATAAGATTTATATTAATTATGATTTTAGAGTTTTTTAATTAAAAAAAAATCCTTTACATTGAAAAGTGTGACTTTAATCTTTAAAAATTGAATTTAGTATCTGAGAATTAAAACCATATTTTATTGATTTTGAGAAACTAAAATATTTTTTAAATTTGAAGAACTAAAAAATTATTTACTCCGAATTTCATATTAAAAATATAATTAAACCAATATTTTATTTATAATATGAAAATTGTATTTAATAATTTGTAAATAAAATTAGAATAGTTAATAATAAGAAGTATAAAATAATTATTAGAAAATGTCAAATAACTCAAAAAATATAAATTACAAAAACTATACTAAAATTATTTCATGCAAGTTATATAATTTATATAAGTTTTTAATTCTGGTAAAACAAATTAATAAATCTTTAATATGTATTTTTATATATTTTTAAATATTAATATTTTTATACATAAATTATTCTGTTATAACTATGCCTGTTATAGAACTTAAATTTATTGTAAAAAATATATATAACAATAAATATCAAAGTTGAGGAGAGTAATTTAAATATATCAATCGGGCAAAAAAATTTAAAAATTAATATATTTAATTATACTATATAAATTCATTACTCATTATATTAGATTATGAAAAATATTTTAAATTAAAATATAAAAAAAAACAATTCAATAATATAAAACATGAAGAATAAGTAATATTCTATCAAGCATAAATATTTAAAATATTATCTTTTAATAAAAATAAATATTTCTTAATATTCTATCATCAATGTAATTATTTTTTTTAATTAAAATATCAATAGAACGTAAATATTAATATAAATAACATAATATTTATATGATCATAATTATTTTATAATCATAATCCTTGTAAATAAATACATTTTTTCTTTATTTTTAAATGATTATTTATATATTTCAAAAAATGTTTTATTTTACAATAAGTAAATAATCAATCACTTTTACCATCATAATAATAATAATAATAATAATATATCATATTTTTTATTTATTCCATATTATTATGTTAGTTCAGGTGATGTATTATAAAAAATTAATAAAGGTCGTATTTAAATATACAACTAAGAAAAACATTTTTTATATTTATTTTTCAGAATAAAACATAAGTTGAATGGGTTTCATGGTTATTTGTTAATAACTTACTTTATTTATTAAATGATAGTATTAAATTAATAATAATTAAATTATATATTATCAAAAGATATAATGTGAGACTAATGATTTTTTTATTTTAAAATATTAATATAATTAATCTTTTATTAGTACTTATTGTTTTAATAATAAAAAATATTATTATTAATAATTATAATTATAAAAAAATGTTTTATCTTTTTATTTTATTTTTAATTTATTATTATAATTATTATTATTCTTTTCAACATTATTATATTGATTATTATAAATAACAGTAAAAAGAAAAAACATATTATCAATAATAATATAAATTTAAAATTATAAAAATAAACATATTAACAACAAATATAATAATAATAATAATAATAATATTTTTATTATTATAAAAATATAATAATAATTATTAATATGATAATTTTATAATTATATTGTAGTAAAGTTATTAATAATGAAAATTATTAAAAAAATTTAATTGCATAATAATACAATTATTAATAAAATTATTTTTATTATCAAAATAATAATTATTATTTATATTATTTCTCACTATAATAACCTTTTCTTTTATTATCATATTTATTATTATTTGTTTATATTTACTTAATTATTACATTTTTATATTTTTATTTATTTTAAATATAATTATTATTTTTTCATCATCATTATATGTTGCGCATAAACATAAATATAATTATGATGTACAAATAATAATTATGATTAAAGTAAACACAAATAGTAAAAATATAATAATTAACTAAATCTAAAAAATAATAAATTATTATTATTATAATAATAAAAACAATTTTATTAATAATTTTTATTATTATTATTTTTCCTATTATATAGTTATAATTTTATAATAATTTTTATTATTAAAACTTTACTATGATATAATTTTAATTTTATAATAATTTTATTATTAATAAGTTTATTATTATATAATTATAAAATTATTATATAATTATAAAATAATTATGTTAATAATAATCATAATAATTTGTATAATAATAAAAATAATATATTTATTATTATATTTGTTGTTAATATTTATTTTAATACTATTATTAATATATTTTTATTTTTACTGTTATTTATAATAATAAATATAATTATGATAAAAATAAGAATAATTGTAAATAATGTAAAAATATATTAATTAAGTGAATATAGAAAATAAGAATAAGAATGATGATAATGATAATGATTATTATCATTTATTTATATAAGCATAATAATAATAATAATATTATTAAAATAATAAGTAATAATAATAAAATAATTATATTATTTTTTAAATATAAAAATCAAAATATAAAAAAATAAAGTCGTAGATGAAAGTACAATTCAATTCTATAACCTAATGTCTATCTATTTATTTATTTACTTTTTTAAAATTGAAGTTGTCTTTTAATATACATTTTTATTATTAAAAATGTTTGAAAGTAATATTTTTTTAAGTCATATTTCTAAACACAATTTATTTATGTAAATTTTTTAAAATTTTGATATTAAAAAAATATCAAAATGATTTTATTTTACAAAAGAAGAAGGTACGACGTATCTTTAAAAATAAAAATTAATCTTATAAATAATATAATTTTAAATAAAAATCATTCGCATAAAATTTATATTAATTTGCTTATTCAGTGTCTTTTTATTATTTTTATATTAATTTTTAATTTTATTTTATAATTTAATTTAGTTAAATTATAATAATTAGTTAAATTCGATAATTTAAAAAAATTACTTTAAAAAATATTTTTTTTGTAATAATTATAATATAATAATAATATTTAAAATATTTAAAATATATTATATAATATTTTTAAAATATAATAGATTAAATTATATTATTTTCAAAAAAATTAAATAATTTTTTTTAAGTAATAGAAGATTTATTTTATCAAATTTAATGTAGTATTTTTAATTAAAAAAATAAAATACAGTGAAATAAATAATAAAAGAGGAGAGAGAAAAATTTAAAAAAAACACTAAACTAATAACAAGTTTGAAGATAAAAAAAATATCGAGCAAAGAGAACAAAAAAGTATTATATTAAATAACTTATTTTTTATTATTAGATTTTATATATAAATAATACTTTGGTACTGGATAAATAAATTTACATTTATTTTTTTATTTTTTTAATATATAGTTTTGGATTTGATTTTATAATATCTATTTTATGTTTAATTTTATTTTTTATATTTTATGTAACCAAAATATAAAAAATATATTATTTTATAATTTATTTTTAATCAATTGAAACATTTCTATCTTTTTATATATATATATTTTTTGGTCTTTATTCATTTTTTCTCACCATTCAAACCACGTCATTTTCTATTTCATTTTACTCGTACCCTCTAGTATGAGGAACAAGGTTAAATCACAAACTGCATCCTCAAAACACATGACAATTCAAAAGGAAAAATACCACAACAGATTAATCATATATCTGTAAGAAAATATAATTATATATTTAAGTAAACTTGCTAATTATATAAAGAATAAACATTGTTTATAATAAAATACTAGTACTAGTTAAATAGTGCAAAACCCTAAACAATGTCAACTTAATAAGTTGGTGGTAATTATCTTAATACATATATACCTTATATTAATTTAGATTGAGAAAGATCGTATTAATCAATTAATTTTACTATCTTAAATTTATAAAAGTTACCACACATAAAATTATCTTTAAAAGAGTTTTTATTGAAATTTATTTAAAAATAAATATAAATATTTTATTATAAATTATTTAAATTCTAGTAAGAATTATTTATATAAGTAAATTTTTTCTAATTTTAATAAATGTAAATGTGATATTCATAATAAAATAATTTTTTTATTTATAAATAACTCTTACTAATAATTATTGGAATGCTCTAATAGATTAAATTCTAATTTAATATTAATCGATTAAATAAATTAATACAAGTTATAAGTTATGCATATTAATCAACTATATATATTAGTTCGAGTTTTTAGTTATTTTTATGTACGAGGATTGGGTTTAAGGTATAGATACTTTTAATCAACGGAAAAGTTGGTTGAAACATTATCCGTATAAGTTTTTAATACAAGATTAATAATTAAGCATAAATAAATTAATTACGCATTTATCTAGATGAGATTAATTTAGTAATTTTTTTCATATTTCATTTTGGTTAAATTTTTAAAAGTCAATTAAAAAAATTATTTTAGTTGACTTTTAAATATAAATGTTTGGAAACAGATTTTTGGCAATCTATTTTTATAAATATTTTATTAATAATTTTAAAATATTATTTTTTTTAAATTGATGAAAAGAAAAGAAAATAAGATAGATAAATAATAATATAAAAATTAAGTGGTTGAATGAATATTTTTATTCTTTTATGATGTTAAAATATCAACCCTCAAAATGTTTAGTGGAAGAAATTGGAAGTTTTGGCATTAAGGTAAGGAAGAACTCAATCCATGCTTAAATCTTATAGGTTGGTTGATTCAATTCTTGTTATGCTTAACTATTTAATTGGTTACAAAAGTGAAACTAAAATTAATGTTAAGAGATATTAGAAACATTAATTAAATAAAAAAATTAGAAGTACAAAGAGTACTCAACTTAAAAAGCAAAATGATATTTTAACAATTTAAATTTATATAACTCGTATAAACCACCTTCTTTTAATATTATAATAATAATTTTAATTTTTTTTTATTTTTATTAAATCATTCAATATATTGTTATATTAATAAAAATAAATTGTTTAAAGAAAGAGTCGTATGCCCGAAAAACCTAAAGCAATTAAAAGAGATGCTTGCTGGGCGTGTCAGAAGTGGCTAACCGGGACAGCCGGGACATGACTGTTCACACAGACAAGGTACAAAACAGTGTAACCAACATCAGACCAAATTAAAGCCCGTTCCTTCATGTATCAGACAAGTATTCCAATATTTGTCATCGTTCCTACCCTCTCCATTCAAATCCAACCCCACCTCATCTTCCACCAAATGCTGTCATCATCTTCATCAACCACCACCACCACCACCACCACCACCTGTACCTGCAACAAAAACAACCTGAACAATAAAACCCTCTCTTCCTCACCATCATCACTGCCTTCACACTTCTCACACCAAACCCAAAGAACCAACAACTTTAGCAGCAATAAAGCCATGGAAGATGTGTGGGAAGACATCAACCTTACTTCCTTAAGCAACCACAGCCCCAACACTACCCACATCTCCAAAGGTGCAAAATTTCAAGACTTTCTAGCTCGACCCTTTAACACCTTCACTGTGGACCCATCACCTGTGACTGCTCTCACCTTGAGCACACGTTCTGAGCACCCTCTCCCGCACAAGAACCTGCAGTTGGCGCAAACTGTTTCAAAGACCGATCCTTTTGCTATCCCATTTGCGAATAAAAGTGCTCCAGCTTCAAGGGACATGCGAGACGCACGACTCATGAAAAATCGCGAATCTGCTGCCCGATCCAGAGCCAGAAAGCAGGAAAATATTGCTTCTTCTTCTTCTTCTTCCCCTTTTGTTGTAGAGAGTGTGACCAAAATTCATAGTTTCTGGTTTTTCTTCTTTCTTTGCTTAATAATGATCCTTGTCTGTGTCTTGTTTTGTTCTGTGTAGGCTTACTTGTTTGAGTTGAAGCTTAAAATCAAGCAGTTGCAAGAAGAGAATGCAAGACTCAGAAGACAGCAGCAACTGGTTCGTTTCTCTTCTGTCGTTTGGTTATTGGTTTGTCCGTACATGCTTTCCCGTTTTCTTGGCTGAGTGTTGATTGGGAAGCTCATGTTTTAAGGAGAAGGAAAATAAACGTGCATAAAGGTGTATTTTTTATACAATTTTAACTAATGATAAAATGCTATTTAATTTAAGAAATGTTTATATATTAAGATTATTTTAATCTTATAAGAATTGTTTTTTATTGAAAATTTAATGTTATTAATATATTCTATGGCATAATTTTCATAAAAAAATTAACTTTTGCTGAGATACATAGTAGTAGCTAGTCAACAAACTGCAGGATTTGAAGCCAAAGTTTGATGTTAATGCATGGATTTTTGGGCGGGGCAATGATATGTTTGCGTTTGTTTTTGGGTGCAGTTGCGTGAAACCGCAACGAATAAGAAGAAGAGGGGCAATCTATGTCGAACATATACAGCTCCATTTTGAGAACCATTTTACTATTAGAGTCCTCCTTCTAACCAGGGTCACGTTCCACAAAGACACAAACGTACCCTTTAAAGTAAACATATATGATGATGTAACTGTCAGAGCATTATGAAGCTGTGCTTTCATACTTGAAGATTTTCCATGTTTATTTATTTATTTATTTTACCTCACTTTTGATTTCTGGAAACGAAAAACAAGGAGAAATGTGTTGAAAGAAGGAGAAGCTCCATCTTCCAAAAATGATTATCTCAATAGTTACTCCACATGTGGCTACAATTTTTTACCATTATTACGCTTCATCGTTGTTGCGGAATCATTTGTTTTCCTTACTTTTGTTGTAAAAGTTGCGCCATTAAATACTATAATTGTCAAAAGTACCTGATGCGGAATAAGTTTTGTAAATCTTGATGTTCAATCTTCTGCCATCTATTGGAAGACCTAAACGTTGCTAATAAAGAACACCAGAGTAGAAAATGCAGAAGCTTTCATTTGGGAATTGATGATAAAAGAAAACTGTGTATCTTAATGGAAGTTTAAGGAAAAGACATTTATCATAACAGAACTGGTGACAATGAAAAAGTTGTTGGGTGTTTTTAATGTTATGAAGGGGAAGACGACAAAGGAAGGAGACGATTAAAAGAAAATTTAGGGCTAATATTTTGGTTAAGTTACCTATAATAAAAAAATAAAGACTGATACGTCGTTATCTTTGGATTTGTATTTAGCGAGAAAGTGGATTTGAGAGAGAGCCAATAATAACGATTTGAGAAGATTTGTGATAGTGAATCTAAGAAAGAGAGTCAATAAAGTGTTCCACTACAACAACAAAAATAAAATAAACACACTTCACAAAGACTGAATTAATGTTCTTATCCCTATTATTTTGCATGGCATCCCATGATAGTTGGTAGTGAATTGATTCATTTAAATGTACATCAGATTCTTTTCATTGTACGGAATGGTTTCACATAGGTTTGTTTAACCACATGCACATTGTGAAGATTTGTTTGTCCATGACCTGGTGAACTTTGAATTCGCCTCAAACCCACCCTCTTAAAATATTTACAATTTTTTTAATCTACCAAATTAATTTCATCATTCACCAATTTTCACAAATTTTTATCTCATTTTCCTTTATTTCTAATATTTTTTTTAATAAGAATAACCTCACTTTTATTTTTTTTCAAATTCACTTATCTCCAATTCATCAAATTCATCTTAAAATCCTGCTGAAAAAAAGTTTATGAATAGAAATTTTTTATCGGTTTTGGCATCACTTGTCGCCATGCAGAAAAAGTTGTTGTACTGAAGCATCGTTTATCTGGTGAATACTGTTTCTCGAGTTTTGGCATTTTACAACTTTTGTCTTCTTTTTCTCGGAATTATGGTTGATTAGAAAAAAGCAATGGTTGGATAAGAATGTGGGGGGCATGGCCACAACACAAACATGGCATTTTATTTGTATCTTTCCAACCATCTCACTCGTTAACTTTTCATTAACAGCGTGGCCATCACTTTTCCTACATTTCTTTATCACACATAACCAAACTTGTGTCATACACAAATATTTTCACCCTTTGTGTATGCCCGTAACTGACTATAATAACTATTATATATAAAAGATGTTGTTTACGTTCAAAGAACCACTTCCAAAAGTTACAATTTGAAAATTTATACACTAAAAATCACTTTCCTCACTCTTGCTTATTGTCGTGTATTGTCGATAAAATCTGTAGGACAATTCCTGAGATAAATCAACGGCATGACTTCAAAGATAAAAGGGCTAAATAATTGTTTTGTTTCACTATTTTTTACTTTTATAAAATTTGTCCCATTATTGTTTTTAAAATCAATTTGATCCATTTTTTTTAAAAGTATATCATTGTGTTTGTTTCTATAACAAAAATTATCATTTGACATTCGTAAGTATATTTATTGATGTGATATTAATATGATCATATATCTATTGATGTGATATTGAGGTGGAGTTAACCTGTTAAATATATTATTAATAATATGTCATGTAACACAAATTTCAGCGTCACCTTTTTATCATGTGATATTTTTAGTTAGACAAAATTATAAATTTGATAAAGAAATCGCATTAGTTTACTTCTAAGTAAAAGTTGATGAGAATACAAACAAATAAACCTTGATTCTTGATGTATGTATAATCACTGTCCTTAAATATTTATTCGCGATGTGTTGCACAAATCATGTAGGATACAATAAGAACTTCCTCAGTTTTATGAGAAACTTAGAACTAGCAAGAAAAACTCTTATGTTATTATTGTTTCTACAAATATATTGTACAAGAAGAATTGAGAGGATGAATGTGAGCTGCATTCTCGTTTGCATCTATTAATTTGTAGAGATTTGGGGTGACGGGGAGGTGAGACCCATCCACCTATAATATCTTTCAATCTCTCAAAGAAATGGTGAGAAAGTTGAAGATTGAGAGGCAAAATGTCTCATTTTTCCACTAAATTATTACATTATATGAGTGATATGCATGTTTGCCAAGACCACCAACACATGAATAATTAAAATAGAGAAGAATTGCGTACATGTACAAGAAAATTCAAACGTTGCATGTGAACCCACATTTACAATGTTCAAATGAAGTAAAGAAGCCTTAAAAAGTTGGTTCCTACACTTGCAAACTATGACCAAAACGGTTCAGGTTCACTGCACACCTCTGCTGGATTCCTTTCAGTCTTCATGGACAACACTGTAACAAGGCTTGGCTGCATGCTAACAATAAGAAGGTGTTGGTGTTGTGGTCGTTATACAATTGCATTGAAACACTTATAAATACAGGGTGCATTGTATGAAAGCATTTGATTCTCCCATCTAAGTATCATATAATTTTCAGTTCTGTTGTCTTTGAAGGATTTGTTTGGTCTGAGTGAAGCAAGAGAAGCTGCATTTGTGGCGTTGTAGTGAAGGTGCTTCCAGTTGAAGCAAGGAAAGATACTACCAAGAGAACCTCAGTTTGCATCTTCGTACAAGCTTAGGAGTCCAAGTAAGTAAGTTCATTCATGTCTACTTGAAGTTTTTGTTGATAGTTGAATGATTGATTGCTTGTTGGTCGTAGATATAATTGCCAATTTGATGCATGTACATTGATTAAGTGCTAGTGGGAGAGATGAACCATATTCGATTATCACTGATGGGATATTCGATTATGGTCTACCAATAATCGATTGTCATGTATTGCATAGTCGATTATGGGGTCTACATAATTGATTATGATGTGATGTATAATCGATTATGGGGTCTGAATAATCAATTATACAGTGACCCATATTCAATTATGTATTTCTTTTGCTACGTTGAAGTGATGCAGGAAGGGAATTACTTTAGTTATATTTGATAAATTAGGCATTATATTTGACTCATTACTTGTTTAATTGGATACATTTAAAGTTAGATTTGAAAGGTTATGGGTTTGATTTTGAGAAATTTGTACTAATATAGGAAAAATTTGAAGTTACATTGACTAAATTTGAATTTGTATTTGAAATCTTGTAATTTATTTTTGAGAAATTTGTGGTTACATAAGAAAAATTAAAAGTTAAATTTGATTAATTATAACTTAGATTATATAACTTTTAGATGACATGATATGCAATTTGAAGATAATATTGTTGTAGTAAGGTTTTAATTGTTGCAATAAAAAAACAAAGAGAATCATAGTTAATGAACATAAAATGTGTTTTTAAATACATAAAACCTTAAAGATACACATTGATGCTTAGTTTAGATTTATGATTTCTTTTTTTTAAGGGTATTTTATAAATGGTGTATACTATGACATTAAATTTTAAAATTAAGCTAAAAAACCTGAAAGGTAATTTTTTTTAGTAATAATAGTTAATTAAAATATAATTAATTGTCAAATTGCTGTCTATATTAGACTTAGGAATAAACTTTATTTTTCTATTTTATAAACTTTCTAAATTAGGACATTAAATTTTAAAATAAAAAACTTGAGAACTAATTTTTTTAAGTAATAATAATTAATTTAAATATAATGAATTGTTAAATTGGTGCTTACTTTAGATTTAAAAACAAATTTTATTTTGAAATTTTATAAATTTTTTATATTAGGACATTAAATTTTAAAATACAGAAAACTTTCAAGGTAATTTTTTAATAATAATAATTAATTAAAATATAATTAATTATCAAATTGGTATTTAATTTAGATTTATGAGTAAATTTTATTTTAGTATTTTATAAATTGTCCACATTAGGACATTAATAAATTGACGAGAAACCGTTTTTTAAATTAAATTAATTTAAAGTTAAGTTATAATTATTTATTTACAACATACAAAATTAATACAATATTATATTTTAATCATAAAGTTATTATTATCATTATCTATAATATAATATAATATAATTAATTAAAATTAAATATTTTTGCGTACATAGGTCAAATATTTTAAGGGTTTTAATTATCTATAATATAATTATCATTTTTCCTTAATTTACTCAATACAATTATAAGGGTATTTTGGTCATTATACTTACAAAATTATTATTCAATTTTTATATTCATTCTCATCAATCATATTCGCTATAATAAATCTACTCAAATCCCTTCAAATATATTACTTTTTCCTTAATCTAAACAACCATACAATCCACTTTAAATCACTTTAAATCCTTTTCCTCAAATCCCCACCCCAATCCAAATATAAGCTTAAAGAGGTAACCAGATAAATGAGAAGGACAAGAAGATCAGAGTGAGAGATGTGATTTTCGGAGGAGAAAAAATGTTTTATTTGTAGGAGATAGATCCATGGATAAGTCCACTATCTCATTACTTGCGGATGCCAACTTGTCTAGAATCAAGGACCACATAAGGAGGAACGTTATAAGTTTGTAAAAAAATAAAAACACCCGATATGTAAGGGAAATCAAGTAAGAGAGGGCCCGATTCCTTTGTTATATTATGTTTTTCCAATAATGTCCACATATTACAAAAGATATCATAAAATGATAGAAAGGAAAGAGTCTAAGGTCTCATATAAGATGTAAAGCATTAGAATTGGTGTAACAATTTATATGAACCAGTCTTAGATTGAGAAACTTAACACACAATATAGTTGGTATAACAAACTATATGAACAAAGACACTAAGTGTTTGTTATCGGTTTATCAATCACAATACATCCCCTAATTCTTGTTGTTATTGTTGTATTGCGCTTACTAGGCCATGTGCATGCCCGGTATTCATGTGCTCTATAAATCTTGCAAATATCTCATATAGGTGATTTCTTTAATCGTATGCACCACTTGCAAAGGATATCAAATCATTTAAAACTTTGTTTAGGTTAAAATTCATATACCACATAGAATTTTAGTTACAAAGTTTAACCTCTCAAAGATGCAATATCTAGAACTTTCACACACCATAGAAATAGACATAATTAATTTTAATCAATTTTAGTGCTAATAAAACTAACAAGTGACTTATTTTTCCACATATGAGTCTTATTCTTGGGATCTTCAATCACAAAGGTTGAGTTACTATCACTTGTTTGTTTGCAAGTGACTTAAGTCTCATTCTCCTCGATATTTCTCCCTAGGAGTTTCGTCAAAAGATTTGCTAGATTTCGTTCTGACTTCACATAGTTAATGAAAATTGTTTCACTCTTTAGTAGTTGCTTCACCAAATTGTGTCTCAATTGTTTATGCTTATTCTTTCCATTGTAATTCTTATTTTTAGCTATAGTTATTACCGATTGACAATCACAATGTATTAACATAAAAGGGATTTGGTTTCATCCCTAAAGGAATATTTGCTAAGAAGTTTTTCAACTACTCAACTTCACTACCAGTCATTTCAAGAGCAACAAACTCTAATTTCATTGTTAATCTTATGATAATTGTTTGTTTGGCTAATCTCCATGCAATTGCACCACCCTCAAGTGTAAATATATAACCACTAGTAGATTTTGTGTCATGTGAATTAGAGATCCAATTAACATCACTATATCACTATATTCAATGACATAATTTATTGAACCTCTTAAGCAGTGGCGAGATCTTGACCATTGATCTTGGGAGGCCAAATAATATATTATTAATAAATAATAAATATAAAATAATATATTATTAATAAATAATAAATAAATATAAAAGGAAAAAAGAAGATGAAAGGGTAAAAGGATAAAATTGTAGATATATATTTAAATATATTAAATGATCATTAAGTTTGAGGGGGACAAAGTCATAAATTACATGGGAGTTACAAAATTGAGGAGGGGCTGAGAGGATAAAATTGTAAATATACAAGTAAATATATTAAATGTTTATTAAGTTTGGGGGGGCCAAAATCATAAATTGCATGGGAGTTATAAAACTTTGGGGGGGCCACGGCCCCCCTCAGCTCCCAAGAAGATCTGTCATTGCTCTTAAGTATCTCATAAGCCTTAGAAGTGCATCTTAATGTTCTTGATTAGGATATTGAGTGTACCTACTCAGTCTACCTACTACATAAGTAATGTTAGGCCTAGAACAACTTATTAAATGCAGTAAGCTCCAAATTATTTGGGCATATTAAGGTTGAGAAATAAAATCTCCTATATTTTTCTTTAATATAGAATTAGCGTAATAAGGGACTTACTTGTTTGAAGTCATAATATCCAAACTTTCTAAGAAGTTTTCTAAATGTATTGTTCTTGAGATAGTAAAATCCTATCTCCCTTCCTTATGATTCTAACTCCCAAAATCACATTAGCTTCACCCATGTCTTTCATTTCAAATTTAGATCCAAAAAACAACTTAGTTCTATAGACTATGTCAATGCATGTATCAAGTATTAACATGTCATCTACATGTAAACATATAATGACACATTCACTACTTTCAAATTTAGAGTACAATATTTATCTACATTATTAGTTGAAAAATCATCACAAAGTATATCATTATTAAGTTTTTCATGTTTTGATGTCTATTTTAATTTATAAAAAGATTTTAAAAGTTTGCACACTTTGCTTTCTTGACCAGGAACAATACACCCTGCAAGTTGAGTCATGTAAATTTTATCCTCTAATGCACCATTCAAAAAGGTTGTCTTCCATTTGGTGTATAACTAATTTATGGATAACTGCTAAAGCTAACAAAACTTTAATAAAGGAAATCCTAGTTACAAAGGCAAAAGTATCAAAATAATCAATGTTGTGTTTTTGAATAAAATCCTTTGCTATTAATCTTACCTTATATTTATCTATGGATCTATCAAGATGATACTTTTTCTTAAAGATCCATTTACAACCAATGAGTTTTGCTCCCTTGTGCAAATATACTAAGGTCGAAGTATTATTTTTCTAGATTTAGTCAATTTTAGTCTTAATGGCCTTATTCCAATATGTTGCATCAAGATCACTAGTAGTCTCTAAAAAACTCGTTGAATCATTTTCAACTTGATAAGTGTAGAAATCATCTTCAAAGAAGGTTTCCTTCCTCTGTCTTTTACTTCTCTTCAAGTCCTCATTCATGTCATCACTATTAATATTCATAGGTTAAAATAAGTTTAAAGAATTTTACATTTTTTGTCTCCATTATAATATTATGCTCAATTACATCAATTTTAAGGATAAACAACCTATGTTCCGCATAGAACATACATTTTAAAGCCTTCTTTTCTTAGGATCAGGTAACATTACCTTAGCTAGACATCCTACATTCTTAGGTATTAAGTTGATAAGCTATCCATAACTCATAAGGAGTTCTACCAATTTTCTTATGCAATATCATATTTTGTAAAAGATATACTATAAGGCTTCTTCCCAAAGATTATCCGGTGTACTAGAACTAATAAACATAACATTCATAACTTCTTTAAGAACTTTATTTTTTTCTCAACTACTCCATTAGACACGAGTAAATATAGTGTAATTATTTCGTAAACAATATTTTCTTTAACACAATAATTATTAAATAATATATATTTACCGTCTTTATTTGATCTATTCCTCTTCATTTTTCTTTTTAATTGATTTTTTACTTTCGCTTTATGAGTTAAAAACATGTCAAACTTTTCATCTTTATCTTATCCTATGTTTGATTAAGGATACTCTAGTGTATATAGAGTAGTCATCTATAGATGTTACAAAATAATTTTTACCACCTCTCAATGATTAGTTTTAATTAATCCTAAAAGTTCAGTTTGACATTTTACACATTTACAACTTTTCTTAGTTATTTTATATTTTATATTCTACATATATCACAATTTTTATTTTGTTTATCATACATATTAATTAATCTTAATCATTGCAATTTTATAACATATGAAAAATTCACATGTCCGAGTATAACACGCCACATATAATATGAATCAACAATATAAGTCATCATCAATAACTCCAAAAATGTTAGGTACAAAAAGACCTTGATCACAATATATTTTTCCCTCAAATATATTATTTTTTTATAACAATCTTATCATATTCAACATTTTAACCATAATTTTTCCCAATAGTGCTACATGGATTAGATCAAGTTTGATTGACACATGTAGCACATCACTCAAGGCCAGAAATGTGAGTTTTTTAAGAACTTTTCCTTTTTCTACCTTTATCTAGGACAAGAGTTGTATCGGAATCACTAAGATAAACATGTTTTTTTTTTCATCCGTATGAGGAAAAATCACTTATGTGTAGCACCAGAGTTTATCACCATTTTGCTTACATTTGTCACAAAGTTTATTTGGAAAACAACTGCAACAATTATATCTTCCCTTCGGCTAAATTTGCCTTATAAATTTGTCTTAGAATGATTGTCGTTTCTTATTCTAAGTTTACACTGAGGTGCATAAGGACCTGACTTTCCACAAACAAAACAATTTTCTTTCTTCTTGAGGGTGGGGTTAGATCCATTGTGACAATAATTTTTAAAATTATTTTTCTTCTTATAATCAGTTTTTTTCTCGTACTTTTTTGGTGTTGATATGTCTTCTACCATATTTGCCTTAGTTGATAGTGTCTTAGCCCTTGCAGCAGCACATTCCTTTTGGTTTGTGCATTTTATGATGATGCACATGATAAAACCTAATGATGATATCTGTTCATGCCTATGCTTCAGCTGTTGTAGTCTGTCTAAGATTCCGGAAGCTTTCCGATTAGAAGTTCTAAAATGAACTCATCAAGTAAGACTTTGTTTTCGAATTTAATATAGTTTGTGGTACTCATTGATCTGGATCAAGATGTCCTTGTCTTCTAGCATGTCCCAACGGTAATATTTTCCAATAACAAACCTTTTTCTCACGATATCTTTGATAGTGTAGATTTGGATCAAGATGTTCTTGTCTTCTAGCATCTCACGATATCTTCGATAGTGTAGATCTAGATCAAGATGTCCTTGTCTTCTAACATCTCCTAACGATAGTAGTTTTTAATAACAAACATTTCTCTCACGACATCTTCAATAGTGTATTTGAGAATCAACAAATAGTTGATATATTTGGTTTCCTTAGTACACATCGAATAAATAATTAGACAATGCACTAAGTAGAGTGTATCGACATACCTTATTCGAATAAATCCAATCTTCAATCTATTTAGCAAGAGTACTGAAGTTAAATTTGGTAATTGTAAGAACATAAGCCACTGTCAGAAGTTTTGCCCAGTGAAAACTTTGATTTTTTGAATTTTTGAGTTTCGAAAACATTTTGTCTTTTGATATATTTGGTTTCCTTAGTACACATCAAACAAATCATTAAACAATGCACTAAGAGAGTATATCGACATAGTTTATTCAAATAAATCCAATTTTTAATATATTTAGCAAAAGTACTGGGTTTGTAATTGTAAGAGCATAAGCCTCTTTCAGAAGTTTTGGCCAGTAAAATCTTCGATTTTTAAATTTTTGAGTTCTAAAAACATTATTTAGTCTTTTATGATATATATTTTTTGTTGGTATTCACACTATCCGTCCTTAAAATTGTTGTAAAAATCGACAAGAATACAGATAAATTTCGTGAGGTATATATAATTCCTACCATTAAGGATCTACGATGTGTTATACAAGTTCTCAAATAACAGAAACTATTCAATTTTTTCATGAAACTCAGAATTAGCAAGAAAGACAAACCAGAGAATAAGAAGAAATTAAGAACGAGAGATGTATTTGTCACAGGAGAGATAAATCCATGAATAAACCCACTATCACTTACTTAGAATAAAAGACCATGTAAGAAAAACTGTTACAACACTCTAAATCTATGTATTAGGTTAATGATTTTATGTTTAAATATTAACATGCGCCATTGTAAAATTGAATACATTAATTTTTCCTTCTCTAATTTAATTTAATTGTTTATATTACGTAAACTTATTCTATATCACTCCCATATTTTCTAAATATACCCGTAAAAAATAAAACACAAGATATAGAAACGTTCAAAAGTTAGTCAGTTCTGTGCAAGAGTTGAAAAGCATAAATTTTTATTTTTAAATTTTGAACGTTGCATTTTTGTTATATAGAAGTAAATTAACTTAAATACACTCGAATGAAATTTTTGTACGAAATTTTGTTTGGAATCACATAATGAGTGAACATCACACACATGCTAGTAAAATAAACTCAATAAACTCGTTAGTCGCACATGCATACATTCAAGTATAATTTAATAGAATTGATGGAAGCAAAAGCACAAAACCAAAAACTAAAGGAATTACATCAATAGACAATGTTAGAATACGCAGGGCAATGAAATAATGAAGACATGTTCAAAGCAGGGCTATGAAATAATCAAAGACATGTTCTATCTAGTTCAAAAGTCTAAATTGACAAAGATTCTGACCGCATACAGCTGAAAAAAATTAAGTTTAAATAAGCCCACACGGGCAATTTATGCCTAGTAAGAGTTTGAATGAAGTGAAACTGGGAAAAAAATTGTGTAGTCATTTCCAAATAAGATGTGAAGGGGAAATAGCAAGGGGCATCATATAATGATTCAGTGAAGCAGTTGTGGGACAAACTCCATCAGCAGAAAGCTATCTTTCCCCTTCACTCAGTCAACTAGTAGCTATCAGACTCATTCAACACCCATTGATCTCACATATAATGCTCCTAAACCAGGTGGGAACATCACCCCCAAAGAATTTAAAAAGCAGCTGAGGGGAATTCAGGGGAATATAACAAAAATTAATCCCCACATGAAAGTAAACTACCATCCCACCATTGGAGTAGGAACATTACACCCCATATAAACAAGTAATCACAAGAGTAATGCTACTAGCTCCAAAACACAAAATATAAATGCGCCTTTTGCGGGCCATTTTTTACCATTTGGTGTTTTTTTTTTGTTTTATAAAAGGGTATTTTCTTCCCATTTCTCAATCATGTTTTCCTAGATACCTCATGAGAAATCATGTGCCACTGTGCGATATGTAAAAATTGAGACCATGATCCCTGCTTCCTGCTTCCCTCTGAAGAATATTCTTCAAAAAATGTTTTAAAGAACAGCTGTAGCTCTAATTTCTCGCAGAAATAGAATGATCTGAAACTTGAATGCCAACCTGACCAGTACTCTCGCCAGTGGAAAGCAAATATTGACTATTCAATTCTCCAAAGGGTCTATTCTGTGAAACATCTAATACCCCAGCATCATCATTGTTAGTTGTTTCCAGAGTAATATTTTGGACTTGTTCTGCCAGCTGTCCAATGGTTTGAGAACCTCTAGAATTAGGAAGCTGAGCAGGAGGCATGACCCATCTCCTCCAATCATTTCTTCTCCTTATTTTGTCACCCTATTATTAAAGAGCAATAAATTTAAAATAAAATATTTAACAAACAAATACAATCTGGTGTATCCTGTTTACTTTTAAAACAGAAATTGAATGGATACTGAACAAAAATACCTGAATTTCAACAACAGATGAAGTTCGAACAGCATCTATCACAATCTGAATATTTTCAGTCAAATATTTAACCTACAACAAAAAAAAAAACACTTGTCATCTAATGATAGAAAATGCTTCACCCACATATCCATAATAGAAGAATTTGCAAAAACAAAAACTTGGTCAGAATAGTAACTGAAAACATAAGAAAAAACAAACATAATATATGATCAACTCTACAGACTACCCCACACATAATGATCAGCTTTAACAGTGATTCCAAAAAATCAAACACAAGAAGCAAACACCCAAGATTATCATTTACTCATCCGTTTTACCAGTCAGTAAAAATCAAATTCTAGAAAACTCAGCAAGTTCAGCATTTATACACATTATTCAAGTCACCTCACAAATCATAAAGCAAACTTGGTTTATTTTTATATACCCTGGATATTATTCTATGGACTCTACCTAATGGATATATGCATTTAATTCAACACCTAATTTATTGCAGGGATCACATTACAATTAGTTATCTATCATCATCACTGTTATAGTGTATAGTTCAAATATCTTCAATTAAAAACCCTAAGAGACAACTTAAAAATCAAAAGGATCATCACACTGGCGTTTGTATCCAACCCTTTCTAGTCTAACAACAGTGGTGCATAATTCATGTATAGACCAAAATACATCGTTGGAACCCATCCTTCATTACATTTTGGTCCATACTGAGTGTAGCACTTACCATGCGCCTGTCAGTAATACCCTGATTTCAATATGAATACTGATCTCAAGATGTAAATTCACATTCCCTCAAACATTTTCCAATGTAAATTAGGAACTCTGCAACCATAAGGAGACAAAAAGCATATGCTACAACTCTTTTCCATACCATGATTTTCACGGAAAGAACAATAAAATAAAAGGGTAAACTAGATAATGAATATTACTACATATGTCATCAATCATTATCCAATATACTTGATAGGAAAGCACCCAAACAATACAACAGAAAGGTCCGGTTAAATGATAAAGGATAATAATAAAAAAATCATTTATCTTCCAACAGACAAGTCAGTTATAAACCAAGTCAATCAACTAACTTCACATTCAAGAAATCATGCAATCAAATATCACCAAATCAACTTACTTTCTTGAAGCCAGCTATTAAATTTATAGGAACCCATCCCTGGTCATCCATGTTCCGCCTCAAGTATATATCTTTAACTAAATTATCATTGCTGCAAAAGACAATTTGTGATAAATATGCAGCCAAGTTTCTAAAACAGTTAAAAATCATGAAACAAAATGTAAATAGTGACTAATCAAAGCATAAGTAACACCTAAAATAGTAATCAATCTGATTGACAATCTTAGTGTGCAACGGGTTATCTGGAGGTTGAAAAAACATCGCATTAGGCGGTATTGGAGAGACAAAGGGGACACCTCTCATTGATTCCAGGGGTGGATGTGGAACATATACCATCTGAGGAGGTAGCTCTGAAAATGCAAACAATCAGCGGACCATGTACATAAACTATAAAAATAATCTTTCCATTAACTAACAGCACATACCAGGATATCCAATAGAACCATAAGGTCGCATTGGAGGTGGTGGTGGATATAGTTGAGGAAGATTAGGAGGCGGTGGAGGCCTAATAAACCTAGGAACAAATCTAGGAGACATATAGTTGTCTCTACCGTTAAAATTGCGGTGGTTACTCCAGTCCTGATTCCCACGGTCATGATCACGCCTGCCCCCAAAGTTATGATGATGACTGTCTCCACGTTGATGTGGACCACCACCATTCCGGTGCCTAAAAGAATTTCGTTGTTGTGGATGATCATTAGACACAAACCCAGCTCTTGGTTGATGCTCCTTCAGTGAAGAATTATAGTTGTGGGACCCAGCCGGAGTCATAGGACCTTGAGGTCCTGACACTTGTGGGGGAAGGTGACCTCCATTAGAAGATTGGTTAAAATTGCCACGTTTAAAAGACTTCTGATGGGTCTGCACAGTGTTGTTTGCACTTGCATTATCCCTAACTTGCCTCTGTGGTGAGGAAACCACACTTCCAGAACCCTAAAATAGCAATGCACATACATTTTCAAAAGTCCATATACCAAGACAACAAATATACCAGACAAGCAAAAAGATAAATTCAATTTACAATCAGCTAACAACCTTGATCTAAATTCTGATAATAAAAAAATATATAAAAAAAATCTATCAGTTGATAAAATATAAAAGAGAAAACAACAAACACTAAACAGAAAAATTATATATAAAAAAAAAAACACAAATATACATATATACATTTTTTTAATTGAATATGAAGAAATAAAAGAAAAAATGAAAAAAAAAACCTGCAATGGTGGCATGGACATCACATCCATCGGATTCTTCGTCGATTCCGATGGCGATGGCGATTTCGCTGAGGCACGAGCTGATTCCGACAGTGCAGGCCAGGATTCAGCGCCCATGACCGAAGAAGAAGCACCATTGGAGGGCTTATTCCACGCAGGTCTCTTCCCGGTATTGACATTGTTTCCACCACCGTTGTCAGAATCTTCCACCAGCGCAGAATTCACCAGGGCGGAGTCAACAACAGGCAGTGGAGGAGATGAAGGAGACACAGCAGCAGCGACAATCTGACTCCACGGGGAGGAGACTCCGGGCTTAGGAGAATGATTGGGAGAGGCGCCGCTGGTAGCCATTAGAATCAGAATCGCAATCGGAGCAGTGTGTATGAGTATGTGTTAGGGTTAATCTCAATCTAAATCCCGATCACAGTGTGTGTGAGAGAGGTGATCCAGAAGATGGTGATAAAAAAATTTGGGATTCGGAGAGAGAAAGTGTATGTATGTCTGTTAGGGTTTGATCTCCGATCGCAAGTGGTAGAGGTATTTGGTTTGTTAGAGATTGTGCATTTATAGGAAGGGGAAGGGGGTGGGGTCACGTTGTTTGTTGTTGTGCTTTTTTGCTCGCTTCTCACTGTGACTCTCAGAATCAGAAATAAGCTTTCTTCTTATACCAGGTTTTCTATCACATCCCACTTTACACAAATACCCCTCACCGCGCCAATAAATATATTATAAAATTATATATAATTCAGGATTAAGATGCATGATAATCCCACTGTTTCACTCCCAAACTAATCATATCATTTTCCAGTTATTCTATATTTTATTTTATCATAAAAATATTATCTTTCTCTTTTATTTTTTCAAAAATTCGTTTGTTTATCTTTCTGGAGAGATTCCATACTTTTGCTTATATTAATAAATAACCAACTAAATCTTTTATTTAACGGTGTTATATCTCAAATGATAACTAATTCAGTTACTTAAACATTTTTCTCTATCAAATTTTAATATCTGTGGAATTTTTTTCTTCCTCAAATATACTTAGAATCAAAATATTTCATCTATATTTTAATCAAAATTATAAATATTAAAAATGATAAACTGAAAATGTTCAGAAGTTAAATTAATTGTTTACTGCATTTGTGTATGTTTCCAATTTTCAAACTATTCAATTATATTAAAAGGTAAAAAAAAATCTATGATGTAGAGTGTATTTAAATTCTGAAGATGAAATTTATATTTAAAAGTAGTTTCTAATGTTCACATCTACCTCAATATTGAATTAAATTTTATTTTTGTCGTTACTACATAAAAAAATTACTAAAATAAAATTTAACAGGAGAGAATACAATTATTATTTTGATAATATAATATTACTAAAAATATTATTTTATTATTATTTAAAATAAAAGAAAAATATATTCAATTATTATTTTAATTTAAATAATTATAATTGAGATATCGCATAAAGATAAAAATATATTTTATATATAAAAAATACACAGGTAAAAACCCTACAAATTTATAATATAAAGTTGAATAACAATCATAACGGTTAATTCCATTTTATATTTTCATCGACAAAGTTTTAATTTTTCTTTTATGAAACATTTTTTGATACTATCGGTGCATATTATACATTTATCATCGAAAAATCAAAACACATGATAGAAATTTAGGCAAAATTTAATATATTATTTGTGGTAGGTAGATATATTTCAAGAAAATATCCATAAAAAGTATTGAAATATATATTATATTTGAATTTCTTGACTGCAATATATTAACACTTTGATATCATAAAAGGTGTTGATGCATAATTTTTGTTCGTATTTATGACACTAACTTTGAAAGCTGTTTATTCAATTCATCTAAAGTTACGTTGAAATATAAAAAAGTGGATTTGGCTGTTCACAATAAGAAATAAGAAATGTTATTTGATAGTATAATAGGGGATTATAACTCGATAATTAATTTCTAAATAACAATTAGGTGGATTAGACTATAATTGAGATAACTTTCATGGTGAATGATGATTTATTTAATTTTGTATAATTATTAATTTTACAAAAGTTTTAGGAGTTGTTGTCTTAATAGTTTTTTAAAATAACTTAAGAACATTTATTTTTAAAACGTGAAATTTTAACTTCTAATTGTCAATTTTATTTTAAAAAAAAATCATAAAACTAGGTCAACAAAATAAAATAAGATTGTTTGTATTTGTGTTTCTCTTTCCTTTATCGACAGAGTTTAGTTTTTTTAGGGCAGAAAGTTTCAATCAAGATAGGTCTTCTAATTTTATCTTTATGTTAAAAAATAATCTAATAGAATGGCATGTTTCAACTAAACAAATTAAATAATAAGCATGATGTATTAATACCAGAAAATCAAAATAATAACATTTTAATAGTGTTTCTGGTGGAATTTCGATCGATTTCGATTCTAAGGGTGTTTTGGTCCTAATCAAAATTCTACCACGTAAGTTCTTTTTACTTAGGCTAGCAATTTGATTTTCAATCGAAAACGCGTATGAGAATTGAAAACTACAGGATATCGAAAATGTGGTTTTTGGTATTTTATGTCTAAAATGCTTGACTCAAACAAAACGATAAAGTATCGAATCGAGCAAAGAGAATATTAAATTGCAAGAAAGTGCGAAAACCCGAATTTGCAAGAAATTCAGTTTGCGAGATAAATAAAGGACAGGAAATCGAAATGTGCGGGAAATGTAAATTGCTAAAACCCATTAAAATTGCACAGAAAGTAAATAACAGGAAATCGAAATGTGCGGAAAATGTAAATTGCTAAAACCCATTAAAATTGCACAGAAAGTAAATAACAGAAAATCGAAATGTGCGGAAAATGTAAATTGCTAAAACCCATTAAAATTGCACAGAAAGTAAATAACAGGAAATCGAAATGACATTGAATGTAATCTACAAGAATATGAAATTGCTTGAATTGAAATGGCTCGAAAGTAAATTACCAAGGAAAATATAGAAAGCGATAAATGTACTCGGTGAGCAAGGAAATCCAGATTGCCGAAACTTCATGGTGTTCGTCGTTTCTCCGGTAGACTTTTCACTACTGATTCCGTTCTCTGCCAATTTCCCCCGTTCCTTCCTTCTTTGCTCTATTTATAGGGCATCTTTCAAGCCTTCCAAGAACGGTTAACACGACTGTTACCACGTTCTACGTGCGTATGGCGGTTTTTCTTCTATTGTTTCCCCACGTTCCCATGATTTTTGGCTCTTCCATAACTTAGAAACTGCTTTCCATGCGTGCGTTTTGACTATTTTCCTTCAAGGTTTAACCGAGGTTATGATATCTACGAAAACGAGCCTTCCCTTTGATTTAATCGAGAACTTTGCATCCTTGGTATCGATTTATTTTAACTTTAACTCCATGTTAAGCTTTCGACTATTACACCTTCTCTTCCGATTTTACCTTTCGATTTTATGTGTCACGTTCTTTATAATCGGACATCGGGAAAGTTCCCTTTCGATTCATTTCTCGATCGAGCTTCTCGATTCCACACTAACAAAATGCCCCCTTGGAAGAATATGAATAGTTTATTTATATTCTTTCAACATTTCCCGCCTAAGTGTTCGGAGGCCCATAGAACTTTAGGGTTTAGGGTTTACGGGGTTCTAGGGTTAAAAGGGTTTTAGGTTTCCCTTTCCGTTTTACGTCGCTATCATATCGATCCGTTGCTTTTACGGTACATTATATTCATTACTTTTTGTATCTGTCGTTCCAGCTCCCTAGGAGATTTTCTCTTTTAACCTTTCTCTTGGTCTTTGTTCTGGTTTTTATGCGAACTTTTACCCTAAGTCCGTACTTTCATCGTCTTCCTTGAGCTCTTGCTTTCATCTCTATACCTTCATCTTTTCCGTTGCTTTTCTTCATCCTACTCACTACTGAAATGGCCACTTCCTCCAAGTCTTCGACTTTTCCGTTCCACCTCTTTCCTCGATGCCTTCTAACCTGCTGGAAATTAACAACCGAAGTTCGCTCCGAGTCCCTTTGATGGAGGAGGCTTCCAGAAAAATTGCTTGAAACGCAGTACTAATCCCTTACACTGTTGATGGGGTTAATTTTGCTTTTGGGGGTCCACTCCGTCCTATCGATGACATTTTTACTCCTCTTAACCTCTCGACTAGTCCGGCTTTGGTTCATCGACACTGAAGTTAGGGTTGATTTTCCGAATCTTACTTCTAAAGTGTATAGAACGGGCCCTCCTTCCAAAAAGCCTCTGTATATTCGATGGTTTGATAGGGTCAAGGCTAAGTTTGGGGATCACTGGAGGAGTACTGGTATTTTCGATTTTTGCACCTGTCCGATGTGACCTGTCTCATTTGGACATGGCGATGTTCTTATCTGCAGTGCATTTATGGAATCAAGACTTACATGTTTTGAAGTTGCCTTGTGGCCCTGTGTCGCCCACCCTTTTCGAGATAGCTGCTATTACTGGGTTGAAACCCATAGGGGAGAGGTATTTTCCGGGTGCATATCCCTCAGATAATTCATTGAGGTCGAAAATTGATTGGGAGTCGAAGGCCTATGGGCATTTTCTCGAGAAACACTTTGTCGATGACCCCTCGATAGCGATTCTTGACGAAGAACACGTAGCATTTTTGGTGTATTGGTTATGTACTCATGTTTTTTGCCCCGTTCAATCCAAATTTCCCCCATTTGTTCAATCTTGCATATCTCCTTCACCTAGGCCACCCTAGACTTTGTTTAGCCAAAACTTTATTAGCACATGTATATACTGCTTTCGACGAAGCTGTCGATATTTTGAGTACCCCTAAGGCATCGGGGAATTTTTCTGGCCCTGTTTGGTTTATTCAATTATGGTTAATTTCGATATTTGAAAGTATCCTTCCTCGTATTTCTACTGTTCCCCCAAGTATAAATATAGAAGGGGCCCGATTATCCTCCCGCCATCCTCGCCAAAAGACTGATGAGGCTACCTATTGTAAATACCTCCACTTTTTGTTGACTAGATCCTCCTTTGATTCGACCTTGGCCCCGTTTACCGTAAATCTTGGACAAATAAAGGGTCAACTTAGGGGACCGGTTTGGTTTAAGTCAAAATTCCCGGCTTCGTCTCCCGGGTTACAATTGGAGCTGGTCGACATATGGAGTAGTTATTTGACCCATGATATATTATTATCGGGTTTTCAGCCTAAGGATTTCAAGTTTATTACTTATTACCCGCAGTTTCTTTCGAGGCGGTTTGGTCTAAGCCAATCCCTACCTTTCTTCCCCCTCGATACATCCCCCAAGTCCAAATTAACTGAATCTTCACTTAATCGGGAGCTTCTCAAGCTTTTACCTAAAATCCC